GGCGGCCGCGCACGGCAGCAAAATGGCGGCAGCAGGCAGTGTGGGGAGAGGACCGCCCCGAACACGAGGAGAGAACGAGAAAAGAGAGGGGCGGGCCGCGCTGCCTCTCTCATGGGGTTTTCGGCACTCCCGATTGGCCGGTTTTGTATTTCCGGGCTTTTGAGCCAATCAGACGGGACCTAGTCCCGCCCCTGCTTCCGGCCACGGCTCCTCCCCCGCAGCAGGTGCCCCCCCCCACCCCACACACACACACAGAGGGGGTTCAGCGCTGTGTGGAGACGCCGTTTTAAGTCAGTTTTGTCGGCTGACTCAAAGGACGTTTCATGTTCGTGTAAGGAAATACCTGGTCCTTCACAGGTAGAATAAATCATTAATTTATGGAAAGACTTATTTTAGTATGCACTCTGTTGCAGAGAGGACTTGTGTAGAGATAATAGAAAAATAGAGCATCTGTAGACAATTTGATGAAACAGAATAAAATTCGGAGGGGGTGTAAATGGTGTTTATCCAAGTGGGGAAGTGACAAGTGAAGGAAAAAAAAAAAAACTAGACCAGTAAACTTTTTCTCAACTAGTTGCTTTTGTCCTCTTTTTCTTAATTCCTATTATTAAGGGACCTTATAATTCCTAGCATAGTCTTCAACAAGGAAAAATTTGGAGTAAAAAGATATAAAATGCTTATTTAGCCACATCGTAGCCTGTTTACCAAGGTAGAATGTGTCTGCTTTTGTGTGTGTATTTGAAGATTAGTCTGCATGTTTTTCTTTATACACATGTTACTACTCTATTGTGGTTGGGGCTCCTTGTGTAAGGTCCTTAATGCATAGCTCATCAGAGCACTTTTTGTCCTAGACAGCCTGTAGACAGCAGTGGATTAAGTAGCAAGAAAGAAAAAGACATGAAAACAGTGGTGCTTTAGTTAAGATTAAGGTTTAATTTGGCAATCTAATTGATGTAGGCTGGACCAGATAAATAAGGTGGCTGGAAGTATTCTGAGAAGCATCTTCTAGGTGGCAGACAAATGTGGCATGTACTTTTGAAATAGTTGAAAATTTACCTGTTGAGGCAATTCAATAATGGTTTAGAAAATAGCAGTTTCTCCAGTGGATCTGCTACTGGGGACAGGAAAAGTGTAAATCTGAAGTCTGACATCATTCATGTGTAAACAGTTTTCAAAGAAAAAAATTTTAATATGCTTTGCATGATACAGAGATTTTACAAGTTCAACACTTGAACAGAAAGGAGTGGATCCCCAGTATCTGTTCACTTAGTCATGTTAGGCTTAAAATCTGAAACTGTTCTAGGTAGAAGCAAACTGTAGCAGAAGTGCATAGAATATAGTCTTTATAACATGAATGATCAGGAGCAGTTTAAGTTTAACCACTAATTTCACTATTACTTTTCTCTAGCAGATAGGTGTTAGAGCAGGGATTGTAGTTGGAGAAACTGTTACAAGTTGGGAAGAATACCTGGTGGATTGACCCCAGCCAGCAGCCAAGCACCAGCTGCTCACTCCCTGTCCCCTCACAGAGGGGTGGGAGAGAGAAAAAGAAGTGAGGAGAGTCATGGGTTGAAATGAAGTCAGTTTAACAGATGAAGGAGAGAGGAGACAAAAAAACAGCTGATGCAAGGGCAGTCACTTACCACATATCATCAGCAGACTGATCCACACCCAGTCTCC